AGTACGTTGTGAAATGCGATACTGCCGCATTTAGCAGAGTTGATGTATGAAAAGCAGTTTTTCCATGTTTCTTTCTAGTCAATTGTTTTAACGTGACAGCTTTATTTGCTAATTTGTCTCCCGAAAGAAACCTGCACAACTTTATACAAAGTAGGTGAGTTTAAAAGAGGATGTTCGACGTCGAAGTACCCCCAATGTGTCCAACTTCATTAGTCGTTAGTCGTTAGTTTATAGGCCTTGAGACTGCGAACTGGTTGACCGACTCTTCTATGGCTTTTAAGGCTTACTGGAGCCAAACTTTTCCATCCATTCGTTTTGATGAGTCTAATCAACCAATGCGCCATTTTGATTATTCGTAAAGCAATTATGGAATGGTTTTACTAATAGTAGAAGCGTTTGGTGACCATCACTCGAAACGTAATTGGGATTGAATAGATGAAAATATTAAGTCAACGTTCAGGTACAGTAACGAACTATTAATCTTCGTACTTTTTTCAATACGGATGCTTTTGAGTGCGAAATGAGATACTATTTAATTATATTCCGACGTTTCGACTTCCAGCACAGGATACGGTATGCAACTCAATGGTGAAGTATAGACAAATTACAAAACAGTCGTGGTGCAAAGACAAACAAACGAATGTACAGCAAAACTAGAAGGAACTTCGCAAAATGAAACAAGTGGGCTTTTAAACTGGAGCAGTCCAGGGCGTGGTGTGAATTGATGACAAGGTGTTTCTCCATTTGGCTACATGATAGATTTCCTAGCCGAACACATCAATACAGTTAGTTATTCTCACATTAATCGTCCTTTGTGTTTAATGATCGTAAGTTTTACAGATAATATGATAAACCAAATCAGATTTGTTATGATTGAGTTCGGTGTATAGTTGCCTGTATGAAATAGATACTGACGGGTTGTGTATTTTATAAAGAACTCGGAAGCTCTGCTTTTGGAGATTACGCTTGAGGACAGAACAGATGTCAGATTTAAAGGACGTAAAAAAGACAGATGTTAGCTCTTGCAGCTTTTTCTGAAGAGAGCACTTTGGTACTCGGTTCCTGCGAAACATCCTATTCAAGAAACTACACTCCTTGCAGAGGATATCGTTTTCTAGCCAACAGCATTGGGCCCTTAGTCTCACATTTTCAACGACATTTTGGAAAACAGTGCGAGACTTGTTGGAGGTACGGTCCAATTGTCTGTCTGAGTTTTGTGGTCTTCTGGAAAGAACGAAGAATGTGAAGCCATGGCTTTTCCCTTGTGTCGGTGTCGACATGTGAAGGCTGTGCGCTTGTTTGTCTGGAAAATTAAAGTATTCAACGAAGTCGCTCTGAATGAGGATGCGAAATGAAACTGCCATCTACATATCTGCAGTGAAAGATCGGCTTAATGAGAAAAGAACATGGGCCTAGGTTTACAGCGAGTCAG